AACCTTTGGGTCTTCAGCTGCTGCTGGGTTGAATAGTTATGCTAATCTGCCAGCACTTGATAGCTATGAGGATCTTGCCAATCTATCATATGATATGTACGATCAACATCAACAACAACAGATGGTATACGAGACAGAGGAGGATAGAGTGACCATTATGAACAATCTGTGCCGGAAACTAATTGGGAAAGTATTCGGTTATGAGCTGATAAATACCCTCGCAACCAAGATGCAGCATATAGAGGTATCTCGTGGTGATGTCGTCTATGAGGAGGGTCAGATAGCACGAGGAGCTTATCTATTGATATCCGGGGAGCTCAGCTTGTACACTGGCCCTGTGAGAGTACATACTCATATGGGTGGTGATTTTAGTCCCCTTACACAGGCCAGAATAGGCCCAGCTATGGATATACCGAGGACTAGACGAGAGAATCATCGTATCAGAGTAGTGCGATCTGGTGAATTCCTATGCGATAGTGCTCTTTATGGTGTATTCCCCCACTCCAACACTATGATAGCGGACTCCTATGCTACAATACTCTTATTAACAAGGGATAGCGTACTCAGATTGGAACATGAGAATCCCAAAGAAGCTATGCGGCTCCACTTTGTTATGGCTACCAGACTGTCTCGTGAAGTGGCGAGTTTGAGAAAAAAGAATAAGTCCCGACGATCGAGAGGACGGCTTATAAAGAGGTCTGAGTCTCGAAAGAGTATCGTTGGTGGTGAAGACAGGATTGACATCACTCAAGCTGATGATAATGCTGGAGTTGGTGGTAGTGGTTGGCGCGGTTTATACAGACGTCTGACTGACCGACGTCAGTATGCAAGACGCCATATGAGTGCTTGTGACTGATTATATTCGATCATCATCTTATAGTGCATAGTAACGTACACGAGGCAATACTGTCTCTCTTGATGTGCCATAATAGTATCTAGTGCATCTGGACATCACCAAGTAACGGATGTACTATCATTTACTGCCGTGCTTGATGATGACTGTTCACTCATGCTGCTCACTTTGTTCACACTTGATACCTTTTCTCATCGAGCCCCTTCCCAACTGTAGAAGACGCCTCTCGCTGCTACCCTTCCTTTAGATGGGTTCACTGTGGTAACCGAGGAGACGTTCCCAACAGCTCTTTCCTTCTGCACTCCTTTGTGCTGCTGCTGAATAAA